ACAGAGGCCAGCAGCGTAAAAGCCTGACCAATCTTCATTTACCCTACTGTGTGGCTTTGTGGGGCAGGGATGGAGAAACAATCGACAAAGTTGAGTTGTTTAGTGATAACTTAGACATCCAGGGAAGAGAAACACCCCCAAAGATTGAGTCCTTCGGAAAGATTTCTTAGAGAGTTGGGATTTGGGAAGGGATGGATCTGCTTGAGGCAGGGTGGTTTGGAGAACTGCATCCTCCTTCTCACCTGTGTCTTAGCCAGTGAGGTTCACCACTGCAAGCATTTGTAGCTGCGTCTGGCATAAAGAAAGTGCTCTACTAGAATATAGTTTCCATGTGGGCAGCATATGTCTTTTTTTGTTCACTGTTGTATCATTAGTACCTCGAGCACAAGAGCTGCCTCAATAAATATGGAATGAATAAAATGACTGCAACTCTCAATAACCCTTTTAAGCTATTTAAAATGTACCGTGCAAATAAAAGCAAAGAGCTGCATCACATTTCTCTGTTAATTCACTGATTACACTGAAGATTTGTTTTTATTGGCTGTTAAAACAACGATGTCTTGTTTATTGCTAGAGAGCTATTATGTGGGAAGAAGAATGTAAGTTTGAAGTACTGACAACAAAGGAACAAGGGGGAAAGAAAGATGTCAAATGATCTTAAAGATAAAAAAAAATCAGTCATTCATTTAGTCACCAAATATTTATTGAACTGTGACTGTGTTCTGGGGAATCCAAGGGAGAGCAAAATTGTTGCTGCCTAAGGGGATGTGGACATTGAAACTGGTAATTACAGATGGGAGGTGTGTAACTTACAGCAATGCAGGTGCCACGGAAACTTAAACAAGGACATTTAATCTGATCTGGGGCACCAGAGAATGCTTCCCTGAGGAAGTGATTAGTCCTGATTCTTGGTTACCGTGTGACAAACTACTGCCAAATTTAGTGTCTTATAACAATGGATTATCCCATGGATCTGGGTTAACAGGGTTCAGCCAGACAGTTCTCTTGGATTATCTTGTCGGTTCCAGTGTGATATAGACCCTGGCTGTCATCAAGATGACTTCTTCACTCACATGTTTGGTGCCTCCCTGCCCCAACATGTGGCTTCTCTCTCCAGCAGAGTAGCCTGGACTTCCTGTATAGGCTTAGACCCGAGGAGATCGGAAGAGGAAGCTGTTAGGTCAGCTATGGCTACACCTGCAGTGGGTATAGCGTCATTTCTGCCACATTCTGTTGATCAAAACATAAGCCCTGCCCAGAGTCAAGGGAGTGGAAAAATGAACTCACTTCTTGATGGGGCAATAGCAAGGTCTCATTGCAAAAGAGTATGTGGGGTAAGAGATGTGGCCATCTTTCCAGACTACACTTCTGTCAGGTGATGTGAGTTGATTCCTAAAGTGTTAGGCATTAGACAGACAAAAGAGATGGGAGGAGGGAGTGACTCCTCCAGCAGTGGGAACACCTGCAGGAGGCCTGCAGTTCAAAAAGGTAAGCGTGGCGCAGCCGTTGAGCACTGCCCACGGCCTCCGCAGTGCCGGTTCGATCCCTGGCCACCAGCGAGGGTCCCACATGGCGCGCAGACCTCTCCTGCAGCCTGCTGCTCCCCTCAGCAGTGTATTTCGTCGGTCTGCCAGTTCTGTTCCCTGCTCTGGCGAATTCTCTCACCCTCCCGTGCTTCTGACTATACCCAGTGCTTGTATAAATAAAATAAATAAATCTTTTAAAAAAAAAAGGTAAGCGTGGACAGAGGACCTGAAAGACTGTGTGACTGACTGGAGGAATGAAGAGTGCTCGGAAATGCTGGATCAGAGTGGGGAGTAGAAATTTTTAGAGTGTGGTTAAGTAGAGTAACTATCTGTGTACATCAGAAAACAAAGGGGCTAACGGCCGAATTTCCAAATAGAGAGATGGAGAGCACTAACTAATGAAAATCAAAATTCTTAGAATAGGAAGTACAGCTGTAGTCTGCAGAAGGACTTGAGGTGAAGAGGAGGCAGAGGTGAGGAGTGATGGCTTTGGGATTCTGGAGGAAGGAACTGCAGCCAACCAATTGCCAGCTAAGGGAAAGGGAAATCTTAGCTCAAATCACAAAGCTAGAATGAGCCCATGTCTGACTCTAGAACTCAGGTGCTGTCCATTCTCTTGGTGGCCATGCTGCCTATGAAGTCATCATCCACAGTGGAAGTGAAAATCTCATGTTAATCAAAAAGTAACTCACTCTTCCTAATTTCTTCACCCCCCAGGCAAACACTGTCCAAGTTTTCTAGGTACAACCTGAAGGGCAGCCTCCTTTTGAAGACTTTCTTAAGATCTCCCTCACGTTTAGTGACCATTGACCCACCCTCTCTCCCCCACCAAATCTACTTCCATCCTCTATGCAGGCCAGTTTTGGACTTATTTTCTTATCTGACTCATCATGATAGATTGTGATCCCCTTTTAGGGCAAGAGCTGTGTCTTATTCATCTCCCCAACTTTGTGTCTTGTGTCTGGTGTGACCTTAACAAATGATGGCTCAATGGATAGATAAGTGATTTCCAGAATCCCTTGTTAAACAGCGTGGAATGATTGTGAAGTTAAATTGCAATTCCTTTTAATGAGGGTTAAATGAGGAATTGCATACAGAATGTTCACAGGAATTGAAATATCTCTGAGCCTCAGTGTCCACTTCTTGAAAAGTGAGGGTTGAAAAGATGACCAGATTTCCCTTCTGTGTCCAATTGTCTATGATTTTAGAACATGTAGGACAGAAGTATATTTCACAAGCCAGTGGTTTGTGTTTCTAACCAGCCTGTGAATCCCCAGAGGACACTTAGAGTATATTGTAGACATTTTGATAAATTCTTTAAAAAAGAAGACTCATTTTTAAATGAAACATTGGACATACAACATGTGTAAATTTAAGGTATATAGTGTGTTTATTTGTTGAATGTATATATTGTAAGGTGATTACTGTTGTAGCAATATTAAGCATCTCTATCACACCACATAATTATTTTTCCTTTTTAATGGTCGGGTTATATTTTAGTCTCTGCAGATTTGATGATTGTAGAACAGTATTGTCCATATTCACCATTCTGTGCATTAGATTTCTATGGCTTATGCACCTTTTTAAGCCTCATTAATTTTATACTCCTCCACCCCCAAATTTTGAAGATATACTGTCTAGTATAAAGACTGAATTTTAAGCACTAGTAAGAACAGGAATATTCATAATATAATCTTTGGTGAATAAATTAATGCTTTGCACCTTGGTGCCTCTTCTATAAAATGGGAAACTTTGTTTATTATAGCCATTTGAATTTTATTTTTTTTAAAAAAAGGATTTATTTATACAAGAGCTGGGGTACAGGCCAGAGGCACCTGGGGGTGAGAGGATTCACCAGAGACAGAGTGGGGAGCAGAACAGGGAGACGGACCAAAAGCACTGCTGAGGGGAGCAGCAGGTGAGACAGAAGAGGTCTGCTGCACCATGGGGATATCTCCCTGGCTGGCTGGAAATCGAACCTGCGCCACAGAGGCTGCGGACAGCTTCACAGTGCTGCGCTCAACCCACTGCGCCACCGGGAAGGCCCATAGCCATTTGAATTTTAATAAAGAAAGAACTAAGTGTCAAGATATATTGTTTATTTCTTTTTCTTAGTCTCTGATGTACAAAATGGGACAGAAAAATCCCAAGTTTCAAAATTACAGCAATAGTGAAAACCTGTTTCTCAATTCAGGAGACTCAAGGTTTAATTATAGACACGGGGAGAGACTCCTGCTTGCAGCTAGAGAAATATTATAAATGATGCTTTGTCTCTGAATGCTAACATAATAAATATCCAGATATAAAAAGTAGACAAATTCATAGTCATTATCACTTTATAAGAGGTTCACCACTGAGCTCTTGTCAGCTCAACCACCTGGATACATTTAAATAAAGGGCTGTAGATACTAGTTTTATTCACATACCTTTAGCTTTGTAGATTGGTGTTGATTTTAATGTATTGGTTTTATGCCCTAAGCGCTAAAAGCGATTTTCACTAACCATAAAAACTGTGCAGTTTTTAATAAGATAGCATGTTTGCATACCTTAGCAGCTACATGCAAGGGAGTTGCTAATTGCTAGTTTCACCTACTTGTAAGTTGTTAAGGGGGAATGAAAACCTTGCCTAAAACATAGGTGAGCTGTTGAGCACATGAATTGTAACTCATGCGACTAAGGATCTTTCTTTGATTTTTATAAATTTACATTAAAATAGCCGGGTCTAGCTACTATCTACTGTTTTAGATAGTGTCAATGTCAAGGTATGCCCTAATTTGGCCAGGCCTTGGAGATTTAGTATTTCTAAGAGAATGGTTAGTTCTGGCACGGGATTCTTCCTGCCCAGCCCTGAGGCAGGACTCCTTGGCCAGTCCTTGGAGCCTCAGAGTGTGGAACCTGAAGCCTCATTCCCTGGCTGGAGAAATTCTTGTGAAGTCCAGAGTCCTCACGAGGCTGTGCAGGTTCTAAATCGAGGAACAGCAGCCCAGTGACTTTTGAGTTTAATGAAAGGGCAGAACCTCCGTCTCTGTTGCCTCCCCCTCTTGCACCTTTAAGCCCAACAAATCATCAGAGCTTTCAAGGTTTGTGAACAGACTCGTGCATTTATGACTTTCAGACTGATTACTATAGAGACCCCATCACAGAATTCCTGGTCTCTTTTGCTTACTATTTTAGGTCAACATATCAGAGACTTGCCAGGGCAGTCTTTTCACAACTGCTCTCAAAGGCTTCTCTGTGTGAGTAAAAGCTGTTGACCTTAATTCTCCTTATCAGGTGTTCCACCCTGCACTGTGTAAGTTCTACTATAAAGGGCAGTGTTGTGTTCTCTTCACAGTGGAACTTCTGTGTAGGTGTTGTCCACCTTTGGGTATGAATGCCATGGAAAAGTGTTAAGATGGAGAAGTAATCGGGCAGATTTGTGTATTGTTGAATACAGTGAACCCTGTGCCAACGTTGTTGTTGCTTTTTTTGCAGGAAATGAAGGATTGCTGAGGAATTGCTTTGATGTGCTTCCTTTGGCATCTCAAGATCTCTCTCACTGAAGATTAATCTCCAAGGAACATCTGTCTCTCCAAGCCTTTGTTCATGGCCATTAGCAACTACAGATGCTTTTCATGACTTGGAAAACATCAAGCACCTTTGTGTTTAGCCTGCTTCAGGTAGCTGAATGAAGGTTTCTAGTTGTTTTGAGAACGCTTGCTGAAGCACCTCTTTGCTGGGTGAATGTTCATGAAGCCCTTTCCTGAACTAGCTTAGGAGGCTTCTACCTCTTGGATCCTGGACATGGAAGCTTTGGAAGTAGATGACATCAGCCCAGCCTTGGAAGTTACTGAGGATTTCTTTAGTACTTTTGATAGTAAGCTAGGGAAGGCTGTGCAGCAAGCAGAAGTTTACGGAATTCAGGAAGTCCCTGAATTGGTGGGGCATGAGGTACTCAGTAACTTAACAGACAATGGTGCTATCAGAAATGTTACCGCCCTGGGCAAGGAGGGTGTGTTTTGGGGCCACTGTAAGAGCAGGCTCTTAGAAACCAAAGCTCAAAATGTCTTCCCTGCCAAAGAACAGTTTATGGTCCAGAAAGGGACAGCCCCAGATAATCTCTCCTGGATGCAACAAAAGGAAGCGTCGACCTTTAATTTTTTCAACATCTGTCAACGTCGGAGGGATAGACCTCGCTCTGTGAATGATTTATTAGATGAAACCTCTACTTTTAAGCCAGGCCATGCTCGATCAAGGTCAGATATCACCCAAATGGACTGGAGGGTAGTCCTCAAAACCATGCCTTTGCAGCAACAGCAGCAGCAACCACTTCAGGGCCCTCAGTTCACCAGGCCATCTTTCCTGTTGCCCTCACCAAATAAGGTAGAAGATGCTCAAGGAAATACTGGTATGTTCTTATATCTGACTGCTATGAAAAATTGTTGCTTTCCCTTCACCTCACTTACATTTACCTCATGAAAATCTAACTCTCCAATGACCATGTCTGACTTTGCCTACTTAGCTCGGCTTACTTTGCTACTTAAGCTCCCTCTTCTGTTTGCTTTCATACTTTTTCTTACCTCAAGTCTACAGTCTCATTACCATATTATCTTCATAAGAGGTACTAAATGAAGTGAAGGAGAGCTGTAGTTAATTCTTCCTTTTTAATTTTGCATGTTAGAATATTCTCATAATATAGTATTTTTCTTTGGACATTGTATGATACAGTTCACATCGGTCAATATTATTGGATCACACGTCAGATCTAGCCTCATGCTATAAAGGACTTAAGATGTGTGAAGAAACAATCCTTGCCTAAAGAATTTCTCATTTAGCTGAAACTCTCAGACACTAACAAAGACTGGCAGGCACCAGCAGGAAGAGAAAGTAGATGGTCATCTGAGAGGTTGGGGAGGGAACTTCTGTGTGGTTTTTTTTTTTTTTTTTTTCTATATTGTTGGGGTTGTTTTCAATGAGTAAGTGACAGCACCTATAAGAGGATAGAGATGATGGCTTGTCAGGTAGGACTGACTGAAAGTCTTGGCACTTGAGCTGTACCCTCAGGACACTAAGATGCTGAAGAAGACACTTGGTTGGGATTAGGGTAAGGAGAGGTGCAGAGGAGCTCGTAGTGTCCCATGGCACATAGTGGGAGGAAGAGGTTGGACAGGGATTTAGAACCACATGGCGTAGGGTCTTGAATTTCTTTTTCCTCATGCATTACACTCATACTTGTGCACATGCTAGGTGCTCATATACTCACACACAAACTTTCTCTTCTATGAGAAATGACTAACCATCTCCTCATTTCCCCCAGCGTTTCCCTTAAGGATATTCTCATCTGTACACACTGTCTATTTTTATTACTGATGATTCTCCAGGTGCCCTTCTTAGCCCTTAATAAGGTGGTTTCACCTCCTGAAGAGATTTTTTTTTATGTACTTCACTGCTGTTTTAGTGTTACTTCAGGCTCATGTCATTGCTTAGCATTTCATTGATATATTTAACATTTTAATTAATACAATTTAGTTTCTAAGTGTAACTTGAGTCAGGAATATATTAGGAAGTCTAGTGAGGAAACTCATCTTCCTGTCTGTGAGGTACTGCAGTTTTCACATCCAGTTCAAATCCATCCTTTCAAAATGCTTTTCCCCCTCTCCTTTTCAATATTTGTGATTCCATATCATTTCTTCTAGACTTTCATCTGCCCTCTGTAACTCTAGCCAGTGGTGGTAGCATGAAGAGTAAAAGGAAAAGATTATAAAGCACAGGACTTAGTCACTGAATTGATATTAGCGGATAAACAAGTTGCTGTGACCTCCAGTGCCTAGCAAAATGAGAGCTTTGCCTTGAACTAATGTACTGATAGGTATACTCATTGATTAGAAAATGATTTTCTTAGTTTCTTCTGATTTTCTTAGAGTTCATTTAGGTTGTTTTGATCACTAAACCACCCTAATCATTCTAGCCTTAGCCAAGGTTAAAAGGGTGTCATATTTCTGATTTTCTTTTTCCTATCTTGGTTTGTAAATGCAAGAACCAGACCTTCCTTAGGTCCTCTCTACAGTATATGACAGATCATGATGATTATTGTTTAATTCTCAATTTTTAAAAGGTTGACTGATGTTGAAATTTAAGTACTGAATGGCATTTTGAGATTGTCTTTGTAGGCATTGATGTAGCCTGGTCCCCTTTGGTGGGACATATTTCCTAGCAAAGTAGGATAAATGGCATGTCAGGTCCCTGACACCTTTTCTTTCTGGTGTGCTCTGGAGAGCAGACAAGATAAATGATGTTTTTATTGCCCACCAGCTACTAGGTAGGGCTGAGTAGTGAGTGCCCATCAACTGACATGGAGGAGAGTTCTAGCTTCAGGGCTGATCAGCCATGAGCCTACTCAAGTGCTCGCAAGCATTTGAAGGGGTGGGCAGCAGGCTGGGGGGTACATCTGCCAACACCAGGCGTGTACTAGTCAAAGCCAGCCAAGATCTTTGAGAAAGTTTACTTTTAAACCTTTGAAATTGGCAACCCAAATAAAGAAAGGCTTATTGTTTCTCCTGAAGGAATATGCCAAAAGCAGAGGGAGGTTGTGTCGCTGGAGGTGAGGACCCAGGGGATTTGGGGTCAAGTTAGACCTCTTCCTTGAGTTTCACACTTAGACTTGCAACTGCGTAGTAAACATGTCTGCTGGAAGGTCTCACAAGCACTTCAGAGAGTAAAAGTGACTCATCATCCTCCCAAATCCCACTCCTGCTCTTCTAAAAATTAACAAGGGTTAATGAGAAGTTGGGGACTCCTCAGAAGAAATAAAATTTAGTCGATGGGTTTCCTTCAATGAGGTCAGCTTGGTTTTGTGTTTAGCCCTGTCACTTTCTTACTTATAGGTTTATTTCTGCATCATGATCTTATGTTTCCCCCAGTTGATTTTTTATTTTTCCTGGTCCCTTTCCTTGGCTTACCTTGAGTAGCTTGAAGACTTACCGGGAGTTGTTCTCATTCCCCCTTCCTCCACTTCTGCCCTGACCCCCAACTCCTTTCTTTCCTCCATGACAAACAAGCCCAAGGGTCTTCTTCATTGGGTAGGACTGTAACAGGTTGTTGTTTCTCTTACACACATTGTAACCCTAAAAAAGACTGTCTCCTAAGACTACACCCTGACATTGTGCCACCATAGATATGGTGGAATAAAAATTAAAAGGGGGGATTGTAACAGGGTGGTCCCCAGGAAAGGGGGAGGTTCCCTGCCCCACCCAAGGGAGGGTGGAGCTGAGCAGGAAGAGGAAAAGCTGAAGAAGAGACTGAGGAAGGAAGCAGGATGGAGCCAGGAGACCTGGAGGAGGCACATGGAGCCTAGAGACACATGAAGAAACTGCGCTTGTCTTTTGGTCGTGGACTGGGTGACACAGATGTGGGTGAGACCCGTGGGGAGGTGACCATGGCAGCTTTTATCTTGATATTGATTTTGCTCTTTTCCTTCCGGGCTTGTCTGGTTGTTTGTGACCCTTTTCTGTGGGTCCCCACTGGAAGATGCTTTAGACTTGTGGCAGGCCTTGGGGCCTTGCTCTGGGCCAATCCCATTTGGATGGACTTTTACCCACGAGGGGATGGGTAACTTTGGGTGCTTGATTTAGAAACTAGACTCTTTGCCTTACCTGTATTGTTTCCTAGTTTTATTAAAGTTCCTTCCCATTAAAGTCTCCTATGTTTTGTGTTGATGCGGCGAATGGCAGAACCCATTTAGAATAGGCAGGTTTGCGGGGCTTGGGCTGCCCCTCTCCCTGTCCTACAACAGGACCACTAAGTCTTTGGCCTCATTTGCTCATGAATACCTGGGCTTTTGAGCCTTACTGAGGATAAATACTGCTTTCCTGGGAAGCAAAACAGGTTCTGGCATAAGTAGGACAGCAGGTAGCTGGGGCATAGTCACAGCTATTTTGCTAGTGGGCAGCCCTGTCAGAACGAGGCCTTCTGGTCAAACAACGTAACGGATTGGCTAAAAACACTCTAACCCTAGGCCGTGACAGTGCTTGCTCCAGTGTGTACTCGCTGTGTAGTTGGGCAGGTTCCTTAGTTTCTCTGCACCTGCTTTTACTATTTTTTTTGCCATATAGTGTTGGGTAATAGTAATACTTGCCTCAATATCCTGTGAGTACTAAATGGATTAAAACATCTTTTTTCCCCAAATTTTATTGAGTTGCCAGTTGTTTACATAACTATATAGTGAGGGAGTACAACGTCACACCTCCTCCATATGTGTGTGTGCTTCCCTCGCCTCCACCAAAGCTCCAGTGCCACAGCCCTGTACGTTCCCTCCCTCATTTCCTCCTCCACCCCCACATGCCCTCCACGAACCCCAGTCCTCACTGATAATCCAGGTATTTTTCACAGAGTCTAAGAATTATTCTTGTTGTGCATTGCCAGTTTGTTTTCTTTGGTTATTTATGTTCCACACATGAATGAAACCACTTGGTAACTGTCTTCCATTTTCCAACTTATTTCACTTAGCACAGTCACCACAAGATCCATCCATTTTTGTCCCCAAAGGCACTATTTTTTCTTTTTTTTTTTTTTTTAGTAGCTGAGTGGTATTGCATTGCACATATGGTCCACAGTTTCTTTATCCAATCTTTTAACGATGGCCATTTAAGATGGCTCCTGGACTTGGCTCGTGTGAATAATGCTGCTATGAGCATAGGAGTGTTTTTGAATTAGTGCTTTCATATTCTTTGGGGTAAATGAATGGGTTAAAACATTTAAAATGTTTCTTAAGACCATATTTGGCACATAGTAAACAATGTTTTAAACATTTCACATTATTACTATTACTATTATTTGTAACTCATCAGGGAGAAGGTGATACTACAGTCACTCCTAGTTTTCCCTGGCATAGTCTTCAAAAAATGACCTCACAGTAAATATTTCTTGAACTGGCCTTCCTGCAGTCTACTTGCTGATCGCTATTAGCTGATTTGTTAATGGGAAAAGGACGATTCATTCCCCCTGTCATACTGATTTATGATCAGCTGTTACTGTCTTCCACACCAAAGTTTATGGTCACTGAAGATGGGATTACTGCCTTATGCAGTACTCTGAATATTGTATGTGCTATCAATCACTAGGGAAGGGGGTCAGAGGGTGGGAAGTGTATGGAAGAAACAGCCCCGAAGAGTGTTCACCAAACTGAAATCCTTCCTGGGATCATGGTTAGGAAAAACTGAGTCACATCACAACAGTCTAACTAAGCAAGGATTGTTTTCTGCATTTAACATAATTGCCAAAGTATGTGGACAGTACAGAGCTGGTCATGATTCTATAGGGCGCCAATGAGTCTGCAAAAAGAAGACTGTAACTTTGCCTTTCACACTCTTAAATATTGGCCATAGAGAAGAATTTCAGTGAACTAATCCA